TTCCGAAAACAGATATCGAAGAAGCTTTCAGATATATGGCAAGTGGAAAACATATGGGAAAGGTATGTTTTAACTAGAGGTTAAACATAAAAAATTATTTACAAATAACAGCCTCTCTTATATACAAGTAAATCTGTTTTACATATAATTTTTTTATTTTTAATACATATAATTATTTTAGATAATCATAAATATTCAGGAAAAGAATAAACCTTTAGAGAATCACATTCTCGCGTATCCTCGCTATTATTGTCTCAAAGATAGAAGTTATATTATACTAGGTGGATTGGGTGGTTTTGGCTTGGAGTTAACCGACTGGCTAATATTTCGAGGCGCTAGGAACGTCGTGCTCGTTTCACGAACTGGAATAAAAAACGGTTACCAGCGCATGAAAGTTCAATTATGGAAGTCGTATGGTGTAAATGTTCTGATTATCAAGGACATTGATGTCGCTAACATTTGGGATTGTGAATATCTTTTGCGAACTGCGGAAAAAGGAGGACCAGTGGACGCGATATTCAATCTTGGTGTGGTATTGAAGGACGGTATCTTGAAGAATCAAACTGCTGAAACCTTTGCGGAGTCCTTCCAATCGAAGGCTCGAGCAACTAAAATATTGGATAAACTTACTAGAAAGATCTGCCTTAATCTTCGACATTTCGTAGTATTCTCTTCCGTTTCTTGTGGCAAAGGAAATGCTGGACAAACTAATTATGGCATGGCCAACTCCGTTATGGAAAGAGTGTGCGAAAAGAGGGCGGAGGAAGGATTACCTGGATTGGCAATTCAGTGGGGAGCTGTTGGCGACGTTGGTCTCGTCGCAGATATGCAAGAAGAAGATAAAGAATTGGTTATCGGTGGCACCTTGCAGCAAAAGATATCCTATTGTCTTGACGAACTGGATAAATTTTTAGTTCAAAGCCGGCCGATTGTGAGCAGCATTGTCGTAGCTGAAAAGAAAGCAGGATCTTGCGGATTTGACAGCATGGTAGAAGTTGCTGCTAATATTTTAGGTAGTTACGCTCATGTAGAATAATTTTTTTACACGTATAATCACAAATTGTTTAGACATTGCGCCATGATTTCTTCAAACTATTATACGAGTATTACTTAAAAGAATGCTGAAAGGTCGGAAATTACCGATAATTGCAGTTAGAACGATAACTTCGAAAATACTGAACGGAATTAAAATCGCTTTTATAGGATTGAAATAGACATAAAATGTAAAGGGGCGAGCTATTTTTTTGTAGTAAAAACGACA